CCGAGAATGGCGTAGAAAATAGTCACCACTTTTCCATTTTTCGTTTTCGGCGCAATGTGACCGTATCCTGTAATAGAGAACGAAAAAATGGAGAGAAATTTCTCGTTTTCGTCGAAAAGTAGAAAATTATTGTACCATGCAACAAAAGATTCGCACGATAAAGGCTATAGTAAAATGCAATTTCGCCAAAAATGATCGATATTGCCCGACAATCGCTTCGCGGTTGAATTAAATGAAATCAAAATTCTATAAACCACTCTAAAGTCTCGAATTGGAAGAAATCGAGGTCGTTCAGAACTTTAGCCTTGCCTCGGCCTTGAATCTCTAAGACCTCGCGTAGCCTCGTAATTTCGTCTACGAGTCTGGGTCAAGGTCGCCAGGATTCCTTATTCGATAATACGCGGGACCATCCCACCGTTATATAAGATTTCCGTTATTTGGCGACGTTATTCTGTGTCCTTTGTCATATATTATCTTTCTCTTTTTTGTAGCTCCGAAAAATTATCAGAAGCGATCCACTTCTTCCATGATTAATACGAGAACAATAAATTTTTAAAGAAAATCACATGATCTTTCGAATATAATAATATAAAAATGTAAAATATTTCAAATGATATCAAACAAATAAAGGGGAAAGAGAGAATTTTGTGAAAGAAAAATAAAAAATAATAAACTGTTAATATTAAACCATTGGGGAAAGTAATGTAGAAAAATATTGCATATTTTTCCATATTTAAGACATGATCTTTTTATAAGTAAAATAATAGAATATGTTGAAGGAAAAATTTATAATATATTAATAAATTATTTTCAAGGTAGGGGAACCGTGTTGTTATCCGCTTTTTTTTTATCTCGAATTATTCGAACGGTTCATCTATCTCGAGCGTAAATCTCGAAGCTGTTATTCGCGGTCAGACAAATATTTTTTTTTCATTTCAGAACGGAACTTTGCTATATCTATATATATGTATAGCCTCCTCATTACAGGATATCCGAAGAACGTGCCATTTCGAGAATGTAACGGGATAAATTCAATTTGATCCTTTTTTTATGTCACGAATGTTCCTCCGTTGGAGGAGGTTGAGTGTCGCGAGAAACCTAGTCAAAGCGCGCCCATAACAAGTCCCTTTCCGCTCTATCGAAAGGACGGATTTATCCGCGTATTCGAGAGGCGGGTTCGGGAAACGTGAGAACAATGATCCAATTTCATAAATTCGCCCCGAAAAAAAGCCATTTATTACGGCGAAACGAGGACAATTCGGAACGTCCTTTAGCGAGATCGATCGTTGTGACTTTTCGCGATAAGGGATTTCGCGAGAAAGCAACAACGCGTGTGTTTCTTTCTACGATACGCGATTACGATAAGCATTTTAGATATCGTTACTCGGGATTTTCTCCCGCGCCAGTGTAAGCGACGCCAGTATTTATGATAGACGTTTCCTCTCTCCTCTCCCAAAACTGCCAGGAGAAGAAAGATCTCCCCCACATACGATATAAATTTCCGGCGCAGCACAGCATCAATGCATTATGCAACCGTATGTAGTTCAGGACGGTGAAGCGGGTGCAAGTGGGAAGGGGGAATGTGCGAGGCAAAAACCCCGTTTCCTCATAGCGAATACATACATGAATTTCCCGAGGATCCCGAGATGTCGAAAAGGCATAGCGCGATCCATTCGCGTTGCAAGATCTCGCCTTTATTTTTCATTTATCTTTTTTTCTCTTTCTCTCTTTTTTTTTCTTTCTCTCTCTTTCTATCCACTGAATGGTGTAACGCTTTTATTCTGACGAGGAATAGAAGTTGAGAGAGAAAGAAAAAGAGAGAAGCGAGGGAGAGATGAGAAGTAGGTCGCGCAGTCGATGGCAGGAAATTATTTGAAAAGGGAGAAAATATAGGGGGAGAGAGAAAAAGGGAGAGTCGCAATCGCGAGCGCCTGTCGAAGAAATGAATTTTCGTCGAAGGATAAGCGTGTTCGATCGCGGCTACAGCCGAGTCAACTGCGAGAAATTTCGATCTCGATTTCTTTCTTCGACGAGCCATATCTAAAATTGCTGGAGCTAATTTTTTACTCAATTACAAGCCGGAAGTGACCTTGCGATTGCGAAAAAATCGATTGAGACGCCCTAAACATTTATAACATTAATTTCCTGTTTCAACATAGCCATGTCGCCGTCTTATAGTAAGGTACGTTTTAGTATTGAATTACTTAAAGATATTAAAAGATTGGTGCCGTTAAAATTTTAATTTGTGAAAAATGAGAAAGACGATGATTATTTCTATACGGAACTGTTAGTTCGGAAAATCTGAGCCATGGAGAAACTAAATAGAAATTATGCTTCAAAGATAAATTACTACAATAAAACTTTATTCTGTAATTAATTTTATATAGAGTTTGCCGTAACGAGATTTTCATTACAGGCTTCATCGCCGAGATATTTAATATCGAAGTGAGATTAAAAATTTCCTTCGTTAAGACGAATACTATACTGACGTGAAGGAACTGTCATTAAAATTTTAACTAGGACTTTGATGCAATCTTTATTTTTTTAAAATTACCAAATCATGATTATAATTATTATAAATATTATAATAATAAAAAATTATTTTTATTATCTTTCTTCGATAAAAGTAACGCAATAAAGATATATCCATCGTATAATTATTTATTAAATTTTCAATAAAATAATATGAAAGATAAAATCACAGAACACTGAAAGATAAAATATGATTGATGCACGAAAAGATAGTCACAAGATCTATATTTGTAAAAATATGAAATGTGTGTGTGTGTGTGTGTGTGACAATTATAATTTCCTCTGCTCGCTTAGATTATCGTCATTTTTAGTAGCAAGGGTATTATATATAGAACAATAGCGGAAACAAAAGTCGCGACAAAACGTCACAAAGTGTCCGCCGCCCTCTTCTTTTATCGTATTTACTGCGGCGGGAAATTGCTTGTGAAAAAGGTCACGTGCCAGGAAATTAGTTGAAAAGTGCGACGATGGCTGGTTTCTTCTTTTGCCGATTCACGAAATGAATTCTCGAGGACCTTCGCGACAAGTTTCAAAGTGGCAGAAGATCCGATTTCATCAACTCGCGCCGAAAAGATTACGATGTTTGATTCGATTTTGTTCACGTTCACTTTAAGACAACGTCGATAAAAGAAAAGAAAAGCGAATTTTGGTTGAAAAATCGCTCTTGGCAGTCTCATTTTTCTTTTTTTTATTATATATTTTTTATTACTGATATATTTTTCTCTTCTTTTTTAAATATCCTTGTATTTCTTTGTTCTTAAGATTGAGTTTAATCTGTCTACAGAGCAAATTCGTCGCAATTTTTGCAATTTAAATGTCTAGGAGTATCATAATTGGATATCTATGTCGTATAACGTGTATTGCAACACGTAATCATCATCTTCCGACCGAGGAATTTAACGTCTATTCCGGCACGATCGGAAAGAGAGACTATTTAATCAAATTGAAAATTTTTCGTCAAATTTCCAAAAGTATCATTTCGCGACAGTACGCATTCGATTTTAATTCACAAAATACCCGCGACAGCTCGTTGCTTTTGCGCGAGCATTCGAAACACTGCGAGAATGCCGTTGCTATTTTATTCCCCAAAGGAACTAGAAAAAAATTCCGTTGCGTGCGCTTAAACCCTCCGTTTGATCTCCCGTTTAATCTCGTAATGAAAAGATGTCATGAAGAAATAAATTTCAAAGCAAAAACGTAATACAAAAAGCGCTTTTGTGTCCTGACAAGTTTGTTCTTTCGTTAAAAATACAGACGGATGCGCATCTACATCACTTTGCTAAACCGACAGAAAGTCATGATATTTTCAGAGGAGTTTATCACAAAAATTTCTCGGCCTCCCTTCCTCATTTATCATTCATCATTCGTCGATGCCTCATCTATTTTAAATCAAACGGCGACTAAAATAGAGTCCACCGAGAATATCGTCCTACTAGATACGTTTTCTTTATAACAAGAGAATATAACGTTTCGCGATTCTAAGGCAACGGATCGATATCTTCCGGACGCATACGCGGTCTCCGCACGTGCGTATGACATATGACATGGATTCTCCGCTAAGAAGATTGGCAGGCAAATGTAGCTTAATGAAGAGGATGTATTTTTCAAGAGTGAAGGCTGAAAATCCCTAACGGAAGGTAATTTCGATGTCGAGCGCGGGAATTAACGTTACGCCATGCGTCTTGATTTTGCTTTAAGAGAAGGAGGTCGAAGAGTGTGCGGCGGCTTCTTTCCGTCGAAGAACCGGGTTTTCCCAGGTCGAAGGACAGGCGCGCTCGAAGGAGCGGAACCGGCCTCAAAATATCCGACCGGATCCACCCACACACGCGCCATATACTGCATAATAACGTTACGTGTTTGTAAATCGCAACGTAATCTCGATCCTGTGAATGCAATATAAAGGAGGTACTTAAACACTATCCAATATTTATTTCGTAATTATACAATAGCAGATTCTCTTGTTGCCTCTCTCACACACGTGGATTCTGCAAATAATCTGAGAATTAGCTCTCTCTCGCTTCTAAATTTCTAGCTTTTTCGTCTTTGACGAGTTTCGGTAACTTGATGAAATTTGAGTTGTTTATTCTATATATTTCAAATCGTTAAATATTTTTAATATTGTACACTTTATTTTATTTCATATTTAAATTTTATAAAAAACATATTTATGTAAATAAATATACGTGCTGATAATTTTAATTAGCAAGTTAGTGCAACGCCGAATTTTTCGGATTTGTGTGGAAACAAAGGTGGAACATCGTCGTAGATCGATCGCAGATGATTATCGTTTGAAAAGACCTCGAAGTGTAGAGGTACGTTCACCTTGCTACGGCGATGCATATATAAAGACGCGACTCACTTTCACTCTCGTTTAGTCTGCTACGAATCTTATGCGTGCGGAAGGTACGCGTCTTACTTTTCGGGTAACACGCGAACATTGAGACATTGTACGTTATTATATTCTTTTCCGATAATAAAGATGCAAGTTCTTCTTCCGATTCTCCTCGTCGCGATCGCGACGGTGATCGCCGAGAAAGACGAATCCTGGACCTGGGGCGATGATAAACAGAAGACGAGCCGAGCCGCCGAGGCCAGGTGCGCTATCGATTTTACGATTTGTCAGAAATTAATATAATCACGTGTCCGCGTACCATATTTTTAGATTCTTTATTTAACTTGTTTCATTGTAATTATATTTATATTTATCTCACAAGGATGATGTCTTTGATATTTTCTTATTTTATTGTAATTATTTTCTGTTTTATTGTAATTATATTTATAAAGTATGATTATTTTTATATTATATTCAAGAGAGAAAAATGATGGGGGATTATTGTTACTTGGCGATATATATTTGCTACTTACGTGAATAACTTTCAGGTATCAAGTGTACGAGCCTTCTGAAAATCTGGAAGGTTTCAATAATAATGGCGTCAATTTAGGCTTTAGGCCTCAAAACCCGGGGCCTTACGGTCCCAACGGTGGACCGCTCATACCGGCATACCAAGGTAATAACGGCGTTCTCGTGGGCCCCGGTGGACCAACCGGAATAATTGGCAGGTATTTGCTACCGTGATTTCTCTCCAGTTCTTCGAGCATTTTAGCTATTCGAATATTTCACGTTTATTTTGCGCGATCATTAATTAGTTCGATTAATCGGCTTTTCGAAAATACCAAGATCGTTCAAAAATCCGCGAGTCGCGAGAGGTTCCATGTTAAATTGCACTTTTCCAAACAGATTCAATAATCTCGGAAAAGTGGGATTTTCCGCCCCGCCCGGTGTATACCGTCCCATCTCTCCTCTCTCTCCTCCGGCTTCCTCTATATTAAATTTCCAATGATCCGATTAAAATATATAGGTGTCTCGCCTCTTTTCCACACACGACGAAGGGGATCGCGTTTAATTTATAGATATCCCGCGCATTTAATTGCGTGCGAGGCGCAGTCCGGTCGTAACGATATTTCACGAGAGACGGCTCATTCCCAAAGGGGAAAACGGCGTTGGATTTTTCATCAACTGCATTGTGGATAATTTCACGCGTTTCATCTAATACAAAACCTGTGAATAATCTTGCCTTAATCGTTAAATTTCATTTGTGTCGATCAAAAAAATCAGTTTTTCGTGATTCTAATTGGAAATTTATATTCTACCGAAAATGTGCTGCATCGAACATTAATGCCATTAATTTGCCGATGTGAGAGAATACCAGGAGATGTTTATAATATCGTTGATATTTCAGACCGCCGCGTTATAACCCGCACAGACCCGATGGTATCCTAGATTCGGTGCCCCCCTGGATAAGAGACGATCCCCGTTATCGCGAGTTCGATACCTGCAAGTGCAGATACAGCTTCAATTGCCCGTCGCCCGGCTTGAAATTCGTAAGTTCGATCCAACAGACTCGGGTAAAGAGAGAAAGTGTTTACAAAATCTTGCCCGCTATCTTGTTTCAGGGCCACTGCTCGAGGGACAAAAAGTACTGTTGCTTCAACAGCAAAAGATTCCCAGGACTGTTGGGAGGACAAAATTATCCATATTATCCCGTAAAAGAAAATCTAAATCCATTTTAATATTTACTTTTTTCCGATACATTTAGCACATATGCAAGATGGGACATTTTATGACCTAAAATTAATAATACTTTTATATATATTAATACTTTTATTGATTGATGAAAAGAATCGACTTTTATAAAAAAATATGATTCTTTTTAAAAAAATAGAGATAATGTAAAATTATTATAAAAACGTATATCAGAAAAATGTGTTATACGTATCATATTTTCTTTTCTGAAACTGAAACTTTTGTTAAACATTTTTCATACATACATACATAAACGCAACAAAAAAAATTTAGATTGTAAAGTTAAATGACCCACCTTATATATATTTCAACTTTATTTTTTTTTTTTAATCGATCTTCTTAAATAAGTTAAAAAAGAAAGAAGTATTCATCGAGCGCGCAAAAACTATTTGCTCGTACAATTTATTATCACTTTATGGAGGATTCCCAATTGGACTCTATTTGCGTGTAATTGCGGGAATTCTCCTGCGATAGGAAATCCTCCTTCTCTCTCTCTTCTCATAATTGTCTGCTAAGTAATAATTAATTCCCAGGGTGCGCCGCACAAGTACGGACCGAGCGGTTTCGCGCCGACGAATTATTACGGCAATCGCAGACCGTACGGCGGTGGCTACCAGCATCCGTCTTCCGGTGACTATTATCCGGGACCCTATGGCGGCGCTTATGGTCATCGTAATGAGTTCGAGCCATACGGCTACGACGGGGAACCTGACGATTATGCGATCTACGGGCGGTCGTTGGGCAAGAATCAGACGCAGGAAGCAAGCGGGAAGCCAAAGACGGACGAGGAAATCAAGAAGCGGTGATCGTATAAATAATATTCTCGATCGTTTCATCGATCGCGTTCTTCACTCCCGATGGAGATGCCAAAGATGCGACAGATATATAGGTTTTCCTCCCTTTACATCGAACAATCGTGTAATTAAATAAAGACGCAAATCGAGTCTTTTGCGTCGATAATTAATTTGAATATAATTGTCTTCGCATAATTTATTGTTAATTGCAAACATTAGTAACGCGCCGCTTTCGAATTAATAAAATGCGCATTGCTATTCCTTTGGAAACATTTTAGAATGGATTCTCTTTAATCGACGATAGTAATATCAATGTGAATAACAAAGTTTCTCGATTTAAAAAAAAATATATTACTTTAATATTTGTGTTCGCTAATATTTTTTTATATCCTATCGCGATTGACTGATTTTAGGTATTGACTCACCGATTGTCGTGATTACGATGATGGAATAGAACAGAGCGCCGGCGAATGTCCACTGTATATTACCCTCTTCCTCGCCGTCCCATCCTTCCATCTTCATTTTCATCTGGAGGCTTTCCTCGAAGTTCTACGGACAAACGCGCGTTATTCGTGAACAAACAATCCTCTGATAAATCGGATTCGATATACAAGAAATAATATTTTGCGCGCGGAAGCTAAAAATAGATATCTAAATCATTCGATGAGGAGGGAAACGTTACCTTGAGCTCTTCCAACGCCTTCCTCGTCCAATTGTCCTGAATCAACACGTCGAAATTCTTCGTGATTTTCCATAGCTTTTCCGAAACGTTTTCACGTATGCTCTTGATGCTCTTCTTCACCTGCAAAGAGCAAACGCCTCGTGAAGAACGGGGGTGCATTTTATCCTTGGCGTTGCGACGCTCGGCGCACGACGACGCCAGTCGATAATTCATCGATACGAGTGCGGAATATTCGATGCGGGGGAGACTATTTGTCTGTAGTACCCTTTTTGTTCCCCCGTTGTCGAATTAATTTCTGTCCCGGCAAACTTACTCTCGATCCGCATCGGAATTACGTGACGTGAAATTCATTTATTATATCCCAATTCAGTCCACTGAATTACTCTCTCTCTAATCCAGATAATAGTAAAAATTAATATAATGGAAATTAACATGTGAGAAAATAAGAAATTTCTGCAAAAATATAACGTGTAAACCGATCAATAAAGTAATTAATTTTAAAATGTATAGATATAAATTTATTCTCCGTTCTGAGATATATTACGGATTTAAAAATAAATTTATAATAAGTAAGAATATATATTGTCATTAAAACGCGAGAATATATTCTTTCACAACAGAGAGATATCTTTAAAAAAAATATCATTATATGTTTCATCAGATTTAAAAAAAAAATTATGATTTAAAAATAAATTTTTATAAGTTTAAAAAAAAAAATAAAAATATTTTACTTGTTATTAGAAATCACTCGGGAATATTTTCACAACAGAAGAACATCTTTAAGAAATTATCACAGATATACTCAACGCTGAGATATACAACTCTAATCTTTTTGATTTATGAAAAAAAAATAACTAGTCAATTTCTTTTGCGTATCTCTCTCGAGAGATTAGATCGAATATATAGTGAACGGAAATATCTCACAAATTCGCTAATGAGCTAATGACATTTACCTCCTTTTCGTGATTCGCTTCCAGTGCCTCGAAAGCGTACGCGCCGATCATACAATAAGCAACTACCAAGGAGATGAGCGTCACGTGGGAGAAGACGCATCTGCTGAATTTCCACAACAAGCGTAGAAATCTGATGCACCGCGACGGTCTTTCTATCTCCATCATCGGGTCGAACACTTCCGTTCGCGCACGCGGCATTTTCTATCCTCTCTCGTTAGAATATCGCGGGTATTCTCTCATTAGATTCCCCATTTACATAGCGAGCGCGTCGCCTTCGTCGGTTGTAGCTTCGATTGCTCGATAATTAGATTTCCTCTGATCCCGCACGACGGATATATTGACATTAGGTTTGTCAGATCCACCGTATATATTCTGATTAAAGACTTTTTTTTTAATAATATAAATTTTTTATAACAAAGAGAATTGGAAATTTTTGAAAAAATTTATACCATCAACGAACTTGGAATAGTCTGATTTAAAATTTATATGAAACTAATCGTGGGAAAAATATTTATAAATCTGAGGAAATAAAAATTTGTAGATTTATTGGAATTCCCGGCTCTCTCTCTCTCCTTTTTCTCTCTTTCTTTCTCTGGTAAACAGAATTCTACTTCTATAAAATATTGAGAAGTATGATAAATAATTTTTCCAGCTGAAATTCCTGGATCGTGAATATAATATCAAACAACTATACCGTAAATAAATAACCGCGCACATGTTACAACTGCAATATCGGTTGATATGTTACAAACAATTAAATAAAAAAAATATTACTTTCGTCACGTATCTATATTTTTTAAAGTAAATATGCAATATCGAAGCTTCTGTGAGACAGATTTTTTTTTAACTAACATATTTTATGTATCGAGAGAAATAGAAATTGAATTTGTTCGAAAAAAATTGACATTCTCTTGTCCCACTTTTTCATAATTGCCATTATAGCGATTTTACACAAGTACAATATTGGTCGCGTTCAGTGAAATTTTGAGACACAAAATATGCGAGTTATTGTAAAATATTGAGTTTTTGCATTGTATATCGAGAGGATTAAGATTAAAATTTTCACGGAAAACGTTTTATTAAAAATCGACAACAGAGGAAGAGTATATCAAAAAATTATATTATAAAATGACTCATATTAATCATATTGTTATGAAAAGCACTGACAAACGATCATTTATCGACGGACCTGTATATTATTAATAAAAAATTATATTTGGTATTATCGTTGCATTTTTATAAACAAAGCGTTTTACACAGGTAAATCAATTTTTATTGACAAGACGCGATCTTTTGTCACTCGAAATCACGAGCGACGCTGATCGAGCAATCTGTTTTCGTATTCATTCGAGTCGCTCGTCTCCGTTCTCGTAGACGAATTCGATTTCATGCGATACGCTTTCTTCGATGTCTATCCACTTTCTTTGGTCTCATCGACGGGCGTGAAACGATCGATATTGAATTCCTCTTTGTGTCGCACCATATACACCGAATGACGTGCGTTATCATTGTTATCGTTAACGCTTGCTCGCTTTATTGGCAAATTCATTACGCACGAATCACGATCGCGAATTAATCGTTGAATCGAAGATACGGGATGAATAAAATTTATTCATTCATTAGGGATTTTTTTCTATAATATTACATAATATTTATAACATCGTGTTTATGTCAAAAAAAAATATTTACAATATATCATATCGAGAAAAAGAATTTGTTTTCCTTTAAAAATATATCAAAACTTTTGACTTAACATACATGTGACTGGAAAATGAGAATTTTTCAAAGTAATCGAACATCTTGAATTAAGAAATTTGCTTCTTTAAATTAATTTATTTTATACCAATATAAATTTTATATTATATTTTCCATTATTAAAAGATTAATTAATTCAAAATAAAATACAATATTTGTTACACATATCTGTCCCGATTTTAATGCTCGCAATTATTTTAATTATTGAAACTCGATATGCTTGTTAGAGAAATATCGATCTCGAAATATGAGAATAAAAAACCTAGGAATCGAAAGCATTAATATAGTTGTTCTATATATTAATTATAAAAATACCAAACGCGCACACGAACGTGAACGGTTATTTAAAGTGGCACACGTGTTTAAAGCTAGCCGTGCGGTTTAATCTGAACCAACGTAAAGTCGAGAGAGATTTACTTCTCTCTCGATCGCTTCCTAAACGTCGTTCGGATCCTCGGACGATCCCGAGGAACCTTTTAACACCGCGTAAATTTCGCGAACACCCGCATGCGACTTCCGAAACTCGTCGTAACGATACAGGCGTGATTCTCGCATATTCCTCGACGCGAAACTAAGACAGAAACGCATTACATCCGCAAGACGGGTTGTTCCAAATTTATCCCAGCGTCGAAATTTCGTTCGGAAAATGGGAAGGGAGAATGAAGAGAGAGATAGAGAGAGAGAGAGAGAGTGAGTAGGAGGCAAGAGATAGTCTCCGTAGAGATTTGTGCTCCCGGCGTCGATACCTTTATTTAAGATTATCGCACGAAGAGATTCAAGAGTTGAACAGCAAGTAAGACAATTTTACAGCACTTTAGTTTCTCTTCTGATTTTATTTCATACGAAAGATCCGGATATTACAAAGGACCACAGATAAGAGTCATCCTCTTTTCGGTTTTCTTTTTCTTTTCTGTTCAGATTATTAAGGTCTTTGGAATTCAAAGCTCATTTTTTTCTCGAATCTAGAATAGAGTTATACGTACGCTGTTTAACTCCATAATTGGTACAAGAACGTTTTTCGCTCATGCGCTTCTTTCATTCGTCGAGATACCCGTACACGTCATTTACGATGCGCTTACGTACTTAAACGTAAATTTGTATGCAATGGGCTTTACTCGGTAGTGAATAAGTAACGAGTAACAAGATGCGACGGACTATTTTCAAAACTTACGACCCTTCGCACAAACGGGATTACATTGCATCGGTGCGCTATATATGAATTAATTTTGCGAAGAAACGCCACTGAGAAGGAAGCAAGACTATTAGTCCTTTCAAGAACTTATCATATAATATACTTCTGTTAGGATAAATTCTCTTTTCGGCGAAATTCAGATTCAAGAATTTATTATCAATTTAATTCAACTCCCGCGAATATACTTCTAATTTCTCGAAAATATATTTGCAGCTATTATGTGTAATATAATTGTGCGATGGTTTATTAAATAAATTTCCATAAAAGCATATTTGTTTGCTTATCAGTCTTATTATTATAAATGTAATTGGGGAGACAAATCAGA